GACAGGAGTGGGTTTCGAACTGGAGTTCCCCAGCACTCCCCCTTGATCTGATGATCGGATGCACAGACCACTGCGCCACCCGTCCCAAGAGGAGACGATGACGAGCCACCCGTCCCAAGACGAGATGATGAGCTAAAAATAAATTCTTGATAACGAAAACTATGACGAAATGTATATTTAATTTTCGTTGACGAGACGGGACTAAGGTGTTAATGGTGGACTATCGTACATTCAAAATGCAGCACATTTTCCCCTAAGTGTCCATCTTGTCTGTCAAAATACATCTTACGTTTCTAACTTGCAATATCATTATTTCCGCTCTCTTCACTCCAGAAGAGCGATCTCCGGGGCCCTTTCTCATTTCATCAAATCCCCCTCCTCGACTCCTCGGTCCTCCCGTAGTGACCCGGAAATAAATTTTAGCGCGCCATGTTGAAGGACGTCTAATTTCTCTAAATGCACTTCGAGGACTGAAGGATAAAGATAAGGCAAATGTGGCAGTGAATATAAGATATAGTGGGCCTATCATGGAAAAGCTAAGACATTGAGCTGTCTGAGTGGAAAAGTACAGTACTGTGTTAAAGTCCAACTGCTGAGAAGCCTCAGTGGAAATATACTATGTGAATACTGTGTGCAACAAAAACGCGGGGTCAACCAGATTAAGAACAGAGGCATCCTGTTATGTCCAAACTGATAAGCCACAAGGTTTCAGAACTCATTATTCTCACACTAAATCACCCACCAAGCAGGCGCAACAGTTCACAAGGGCAGTCTTGTGAGTGAAACCAGATAAGGAAGTGAGTGAAAGCAAATAAGGAAGTAACAAAAGCGCGCCGAAGGCTAACCTAAGAGTTGCTAGGGTAGCAACGGCAGATTACACCACAAGAAAGCAGCGAAGGTGGGGGCTCCGCTAGGAACAGTATATAAGCAGGATGTATTCAGTACTCGAGGCTCTCTTCAACTGGGATCTTACACTGACGAGCTTGTCACGGTGAGAACTCAAGAAGGAGTCCAAGGCGCTTTGTGGTATAGTATCAGATTGATGTATCTTTGTTGAACTGTGTAATAAAGTGCTTATTTGAAGAAACAATCCATTGGAGTGCAAAGTCTAGTTTTGTACAGCTAACAGAGAATAGTGTCTAGGACACAATTCCTTTTCCCTCAGAACTAAGAAACGGTCATCGGCAGATCCGGACAGCGACCCCGCTCTAGCCATATCCAAACGATCTGCGCGGAGGACGGACCTGGTCCGGTAGACTCCAAGAGGACCGAGGATCGAGCGTCGAGGAGGCTCTCTGGAGGAGCTATAACCGAGGATACACTGATGGGTTCTCCACGGTCCTCCACGGCTCCTTCGTGGATGCATTTCCGGCAACAGAGATGTTTCAAAGCGTCGTGACGCATGGCCTGACTTATCTCAGCCAATGACAGCTCTACATGCATCCCCTGGATATTATTTTATTAACTGCTCTCATCGCAACGCGATGTTTCCAGAGAGAACAGCTGTGAGGTCCGTGCAGAAAGCAGAGCAGTTTGTATAATATATATATTGTATTGTAAGTCGCTTTGGACAAAAGCGTCAGCTAAATGCAATGTAATGTAATGTAATGTAATATATCACTCAGTATAACAGGCCTACTCTCTTTATTTGCTTTAGTTTAGTAGATATCTTCAAACAAAGAGTCCATATTTTTCTAAAACCATTTAGTGCTTCACATAATAAAATACACAACGGCTGTAGCCTGATTATGCTTTAGGAGCTGTAGGTGCGTGTGGTACAGTGTGTAGGTGTGTGTGTTGTACGTGTGTAGGTGTGTGTGTTGTACAGTGCGTAGATGCAGCGGACAGACAGGTCTCAGTTGGTTTGGTGTCCTCTGCTTACTTTTAATACTTTTTTACTTTTGGCCCGTAATTTATTTCCCTCATTGTAGCGAGGGGAGAGGGGGGGATATATCCAGTCTCTGATAGTGTTACGTTATTATGAGAGTTTGATTCTGAAATTGTATATATTTATATAAATATATACATATATGTGTGTGTGTGTGTGTGTGTGTGTGTGTGTGTGTGTGTGTGTGTTAGGGCTGAACGATATACCGTGTCATGGCGATAACCACGGTATGCGCATGCGCGGTATTCACACCGCAGGGACGTGCGGTTTTATTCATTTAAAAAAAAAATGCTAACGCACTTTAGCACAGAATTCAAAATAAAGATACCCTTATTACTTATCGAAACTGCACATACAATATATCCGATTGAAGCTGAGACTCCACAGATTATTTAAGTATAGTATCTAAGCGATCCGATCTCGCAACAGGGGAAGCAAACACAGACATCACAACACGTACCTTTTACGGAGCTTTTACGGGAGATCGTCTCACCGTAGCTGTCAATCTGATCAAAAGACTGGTTCAATGGCATTAAAACGAGAAAGAAAAAACGCGGCTGAATCGGTTAATCCATAGGTTGATAATGTATCTGTGGCTTTGAAGCAATTGTTGATAATCCATAATTCCATTTTTATGTAAAAATCGGAGCACAACAGTTAGCTGCTAATGGTAGCCACCAGAGTGTATGCAGCTTCCGGTTTTGGCTACGCGTCACTCTCACTCCTTATTTGGTAATGTGTGTGTGTTAGAATGCGCTGGACTGCCGCATAGCCAAGACCGGAAGCAGTAGCCACTCTGGTGACTACTATTAGCAGCTAACTTTTGCTCTGCCATATTTACATACAAATGGAATTATGGATTATAAATTAAATCATTTTTTTATACAGAGACGTTAAAAATCTATGGATTAACCGATTCAGCCGGGTTTTTTCTTTCTCGTTTTAATGCCATTGAACACGTGTTTTGATCAGATTGACAGCTACGGTGAGACATCTCCCCTAGAAGCTACGTAAAGGTACGTGTTTTGATGTCTGTGTTTGCTTCCCCTGTCCGAGTTCAGATCACTCAGTGATGATACTATATACCTAAATAATCTGTGGAACCTCAGTTTTAATCGGATATCTTGTAAGTGCAGCTACGATAAGTAATAATAAGGGTACTTTATCTTGAGTTCTGTGCCAAAGTGCGTTAGCATTTTTCGCTCAGGGGTCATTTAGATGCTTCTTATGAGACTTGTGTTTTGTTTTGGTGAAAATGGTTTGTATCGTCAGTTAGCTGAGATTATTTCCGTTCTTAAATATTACGATCCCCTGAGACACTGTCGTGAAAAAAAAAAGTAAAGTACCCGCCGGGACTTTGGGGTTTAACAGGTTAAAAAAAACGCAATATATACCGCAGGGGGGGGGAAATCGCGATGTCAGTTTTTTTCAATACCGAGCCCTTGTGTGTGTGTGTGTGTGTGTGTGTGTGTGTGTGTGTGTGTGTGTGTGTGTGTGTGTGTGTGTGTGTGTGTGTGTGTGTGTGTGTGTGTGTGTGTGTGTGTGTGTGTGTGTGTCTGCATCTGCAGCCTGTTATTGTCTCATTATACCGCACTGTGAATGAATTCAAAGTAAATATATAAGTCATCATGAACACATCTGTCCATCAGACAGAGGGCTGCTGTGCCTCCTGTCATCATTAACCCTTGTGCCCTCCTCGGGCATTTTTGTACATTTTTTCTGACTTTTTTTTAAATTTGGTGATCATTTCAGCTGTGTTACAGTTTTCCGCATGGAATTCTGTAAGAAGTCTTCTTTTGAGTCAAATTTTTGAAATCCATTGTCGTTTACTCTTACATGTTTTGTATACTCTCGTGATGCATTTTGCACCCTCTGGACCCCTTCGTGGCAAACATGTACACGCCCATAATAACTGCTATTAAATCATCATACATTAATATTTGTTTCTACTTTTTTTTTCATGAATCACTTGAACAACTTATAACGTACTCAAAACTACCAAACATTCAATAATATTCTGGATTTTAAACCTTTAAATGCCTGTTTCATTATTTGCATTATTTATTATTTATTACAAAAAAACACAAAACCTTAAATTTTTTCAATATAATAATTGGTAGAGGGATGGGGCTTTGGTGGTTATTAGAGTCTTGGATGAGTCAAAGATTGACAATAAAATTGATTTGACTGCATTATTATTTTTTACGTAGTGTCAGATACTACCTCTGGACCCCTTCGTGGCAAAAATGTACACGCCCATAATAACTGCTATTAAATCATCATACATCAATATTTCTTTCTACTTTTTTTTTAATAAATCACTTAAACAACTTATAACGTACTCAAATCTATCAAATATTCGATATTTTTCAGGATTTTAACCCTTTCAATGCCTGTTTCATTATCTGAATTATCTCATTTATTAAAAAAAACACAAAAAATGAAAAATGTTCAATATAATAATTAGTAGGGGCATGGAACTTAGGTGGTTATTAGAGTCTTGGATGTGTCAAAGATTAGCAACAAAATTGATTTGACTGCATTATTATTTTTACGTAGTATCAGATAATACCTCTGGACCCCTTCGTGGCTAAAAATGCCTCATTGACTGCCATTCAAACCACCTTTTTTGATCTCACTGCCATTGCAGTATATAACCATGCATTTTGTAATGTCAGCATTACGGGGCCCCAAACAGTGTGTGTGTGTGTGTGTGTGTGTGTGTGTGTGTGTGTGTGTGTGTGTGTGTGTGTGTGTGTGTGTGTGTGTGTGTGTGTGTGTGTGTGTGTGTGTGTGTGTGTGTGTGTGTGTGTGTGTGTGTGTGTGTGTGTGTGTGTGTGTGTGTGTGTGTGTGTGTGTGTGTGTGTGTGTGTATCTGTAAACATGCACTGATCACTTCAGGGTAAAAAAAGGACATCTTTTGATCTTTTGAAAGATGCATTTCATGTCTTTGAAGAGTTGCTCGACTAATTAAAAAACAAAAAACAACTGTTAGTTTGTTTACGCACCTGGCTGCTTTCACAGCCAAATGTTAAAATTAAGTTTGGCTGAGGGGTTATTTCACGAGTGAGCAGAGAAGGAGAAAGTCCTGGAGCCAAGAGTAGGAGCTAAAATGAAGAGGCATTTCACTGCAGAGGAGGCCGTAGAAATGGTCATGCAGCCTTCATCAGCAAGCGATGACTCTTCTTCTGAAGAAACAAGCTCTGAGTCTGACATTGAATTATCTCTGGAATCCTCCACAACTGAGAGTGCTTCTGAATGTTTGTCTGGAAGTGGGGATGACACTGAGGATCCGGCCCATCCTAGCAGTGAGTGGACAGGGAAAAATGGGCAAGTCTGGTCTCCATCTCATGCCGAGACCCTGCGCTACATTCAGGCACCCACCGGCATGAGTCCAGGGCCCACACGATATGCCATATCAAGAATTTATGATGTGGCATCCTCTTTTGACCTTTTCTTCACTCCTGACATGATTCAGCTAATTTTACAGATGACAAATCTCTATGGGAGGCGTTCAGTGTCAGGATGGAACGATGTGGATGCTGAAGAGATTCGGGCTTACATGGGACTTCTCATCCTGGCGGGTGTGTACCGGTCCAAAGGGGAATCTACCCGCAGCCTGTGGGATGACCAGAGTGGGAGACCAATCTTCAGGGCCACCCTGTCCCACAAACGCTTTGAAATGATAAGCGCTAGCCTCCGATTCGATGACCGACTCACCCGTCCTGCTCGATACAAGAAGGACAAGCTTACAGCTTTCCGAAATATGTGGGATAAGTGGACAGAGCGCCTCCCACTCTTGTTCAATCCAGGGGAAGACATATGTGTCGATGAGCAGCTCGTAGCCTTCAGAGTCCGCTGCAAATTCCGGCAGTACATCCCCAGCAAGCCAGCGAAGTACGGGCTGAAAATCTGGATCACCGCAGATGTCGCCACGTCATATGCCTGGAGCTGCCAGGTGTATACTGGAAAAGCCGCTGGTGAATCTCCGGAGAAGGGCCAGGGAAAGCGAGTCATCCTGGACATGACTGAGGGGCTCAAGGGTGTCACACTTACATGTGACAATTTTTTCACTTCCTACTCACTTGCCCAGGAGTTTCTGAAGAAGAAAGTGGCCCTGGTAGGGACCATCAGGGCAAACAAGCCTGAGCTTCCCCCCAAACTGAAGCAGACTAAGCAGAGAGCTGTCTTGTCATCTGTGTTTGCATTCACAACCACCACCACAGCAGTCAGCTACATCCCGCGGCGGGGAAGAAATGTCCTACTTCTGACCAGCAAACACAGAGAGCCAGCTGTACATCAGGATGACAAGAAGAAACCACAAGTCATCATTGACTACAATCGCTGCAAGGGTGGCGTGGACAACCTTGACAAGGTATGTGATTATATGCTTTTATTACTATATGAATTGATTCCAAACGTAGTCATTTATTCTCACTGATTGCATGTGTTTATTTGAGATAAACAGATGTATTTATTATAAGTGCTTATCATTCATTAGACATATTTCTTGCATTTATATAAATAATGAATTATATAAAATACTTGTGAATGCTGAGGAAGGATATTTATTTATTTATATTCTATTTTTTTCCTTGATCGTTTGTAGGTGGTCAGTACCTACAGCTGTAGGAGGCGGACACTTCGGTGGCCTCTTGTCCTGTTCTTCAACTGCATTGATGTCTCCGCCTTCAATGCTTTTGTGCTGTTCACTGCAGTAAATCCCTCCTGGAACCAGCAAATAACCTACAAACGGAGGTTGTTCTTAGAAGAGCTGGGGAAATCCATGGTGTCCTCACAGATCATGCGGAGAAAGCACCCCCCGCGAACAGCAGCTGCTGCTACCATGGTGGTGGAGTTACAGACCAATGTTGCTGCCCTCGCAGAAACCACCGAGACCGCCATCACCACTCGTGCCACGGGCTCGACCAGAAGGAGACGTGTGTGCTGGTTGTGCACAGGCCTAAAAAAGAGGTCTTCTACCACGTGCACCAAGTGTAACAGGTGCATGTGTAGAGAGCACCAGGTCCCATGCTGCAGGACCTGCTGGTCTGCTGCTGGAAATTAGCTGAGCTAAACTGAACACACACACACACACACACACACACACACACACACACACACACACACACACACACACACACACACACACACACACACACACACACACACACACACACACACACACTTGTTTAGCTCAAACACACACACATACATCACATATTCAAAGCCTGGATTTCAACTTTTCAAAGACACATTAGGATTCTTTCAGGTTGCAAACCTTTAAAAAATACCAAAGGACTAAATAAATCAATTACAGCAGTTTTGCTTTGCAATTTCATATATTATAACCTAAATTAATCAGTAACCAAGTATTTTACTCAAACTCAATGTATTCAATGTATTTAATGGTTAAATAAGTACTTTAATTGACCTGGTTCCCCCCAACCACACATTTGCCATATGTGACCCGCTCTATCGAAATCAGTCGAAAGTCGCAACGGCTCATTTCAAAATAAATGTGGATTTGCGTAAAAAAATAGTTTTTCGGGGATCGGGTGTTTTGTTTGATTTTAAATAAACAAAGTCTTGGCTTTCAGAATATGACATTTTTATTTCCAAAATCACACGATAAATACATGTTTGAAGCTTGTAAAGTGAAGATGACAGCTCTCCCTCGCCACTCTGCTCTTCCACAGCGCCGCTTCCCCTCCCTCCGCTGACATTATGAATGTAAGCAGATATGTCGGGACAGAATTTATTTTACTTAAATTTGAAACTTACCGGTCATGTTTCAATAATAAGAATTGTGTAGCAGAGTTTCCGTTAGCAGGTAATCACCGGACTAGGACCGGATATGCTGATGTTTAAAACTCAGTTAATGGGGCTCATTTTTATATTGCTTCAGTTTATAATCGTTACAGATCAAAAAATTCAGATTCATTTTTCAATAAATGATTCCACAAACAACATAATTATTACATTCAAACAAACTACTTGTAGTAGATGAAGTACATTATTCAAAAGTTTACATGAACTTTGAATAATAACACGGGAGAAACGGATGCTCTCTTTTCCCCTCTCCCTCCCTCTCTCTCCTGACAGCCCGTCAGTTTCTCAAGCAGCTCGCTAAACAGTGGGCGGGGCTTCAGGTGATCATGCAGAGCAGCGTGTCTCCAGCTGATCTGATCTCTCTCTCGCCTGTCCGGTTACACTTCACTCGCGTTTATGTCCATATCGATCAGATCCAGCTCTCCTGATCGGCCTTTATAGAGAGCACCGATCAAACTATTAAGAGTGAATATCGGCCGATAATGACCGGCGGCCGATCGATCGGCGGCTAACGGAAACCCTGATGTGCGACTGTCGGTCCTATGTTGTAAACAAAATAAATAAAATCAAAATAATATTTTATTTTTGATTCTCAAAATGACGGGCCAAATATTATTGCTGGCGGGCCAACAATGGCCCGCGGGCCGCCTGTTGCCGACCCATGGTATAGAGACACTCTACAAGGCTTGATGTGGAAAAAGCTCGTTTGCCATTAGTGTTATGGCGTAAGCGCGTTGACACGAGTAGAGGAGTCTGTCCAAACAGCTGGCCAAAAGGCGTCATATTCAATCGGAGAAATGCACAATTTTCGACTTCCTTAACTCGTAGCTCTGTTGCGCCAATTATCTGGTGCACTTTGAGGGGGAAATAAAGGGACTTGATCTATGGGAACAGGAAACCCATATGAAACAGAACTGTATACATTTCAATAATCATAAAATCATGGCCATAACCAATAACATACCATTTCCAATATGAAAAAACACTGAAACTTGTTTATTTATTTTTGGTTCATTTATAGTTGTGAGTGTGTCTGGGCTCCTGAACCAGCCTCTCCTGTCTCCCTCCTCTTTGAGGCAGCAGCAAAGACTAGTTTTAAAAGTGTATCTTGCCTTTTTTCACCTAGTTAACTTTTTTTAATTCATGCATATTTGACTAATCACTACCCCCTCAAATGGAAATATGTGTTTACATAAATGGTTACCAAACCGTTTGAGACCCACTGAGAACTTAGACTAAGTTAACTATCTAAACACTCAGAGTCCTTTACCTCACCTGAGCTGAGGTTATCCCGAGCTTGAATGACACACAGAGACCAATCAAGGGCTTTGATTTATGATCTGTATGACAGTGGCCATGTCGGCAGGCCACATCATGTAGACAGCCAGTCACCCTGTGTGAGGCAGACCCACATTTGCGCAGCATACAATCAAAACACAAACAACAATACATACAATAAAAAAATCCTCAGGCCAGCAGGCTACTTAACAGGCCAGGCCATCGGGAAAACCCCCGGTCCTAAAAATAAATGGGTCGTGAAATATACTTGGGCGGCCGTTAGTATACCTGGGCGGCCCGGAAACCCTGTAGTCGCACCGTAAGTCTGAATGACCTGACATTTTGCACACTTATCTGTATCGACCTGCTCTACAAATAATCCTCTTGGACCGCCAAGCTCCGCCTACATTTATTTTTTAATTAGCATAATTTTCAAAACAGTGAAATGTTAACTTCAATTTTTGTTTTTTCAACACCAAACTTATTATACAGCATCGGTGGAGGGTCAGACACATTACCGTAGAAAATGAGCATGATAAATATAAAGATAAATATTGCCGCCATGAGTCAAAACTTACTCGCAAAAAGGCGGGGCTTAGAAAGAAATACTCATAACTCATCAATAATGTAAATATCACAGATTTTGCTGGATAGGTTCAGTCTGTCTTTGGGAATAGGTATACAAAAGCATTTTCATTTTGGATTCATTTTTGCGCCAAAAACACCACCAATTTATAACTCGAGAACGGATGGACGAAATATATATATATTTTTAGACATACTCTGGGGGTGACTACGAACTAAGATTTCAAGTGTTGCAGAATGTGGGCGTGGCCTATACTTTTTTTTTTAATTACGATAGCATAAAATGAGCTTCGGACGCAAAACTTGGGACACATGAAACGTAATTTTTTTTTAATAAACTGCTCAGTAGCGCCCCCTATTGCATCGTAGTCACATATAGTTTCTCCGAACTTCACGAATTTTGGCACAGACATTCCTCAGGAAATTACGGACATATTTCTAATTAGCTTCCATTAGCCTCGAGAAAGTCGGACATTTTAAGGACATTTTTGCAAACTCCTCCTAGGGGAATGATCGGAAAAATTCCAATCCAGGACAAGTTCAGCCCATATTCAATGTGATGCTAAATTGCGAAGAAAATGTTTGATAGCTCAATCGTGGAGATCGTAAGCTAACGGAGAATATACAATTTGACGATTTACATGTCGCAAATTACTACAAACTACTCGCATACAGTTTTACCGATATTCACAAAACGCTGTATATACATTGCTCTTATGAATCTGGACATATTTCAAATTGCCTTCCATTAGCCCCGCCCCCCAGAAAGATTTGCGTTTTTCATGCATTTTAAGCACATTTTTGCAAACTCCTCCTAGGAAAATGTTCGGAAAAATTCCAATCTAGGACATGTTAAGCGCATATCCAATGTCATGCTACATTGAGAAGGAATAGAGAACCGCAGTGCAGTCCTAAAACCCGGAAGTAAGTTAGCATTTTTACCACGTCCGGTTCCTTCGATAAAAAGCAATGCAATTTCTCCATAGGATTTTGGAAAATAGCTCCAAATAAGGTCTGTGTTTGACACAAATTGAAGAGACAGATCACGTTTTGTTCTACGACATTAAATACATCAGCAGTGACCCCGCTGGTGATTTTTGAAAAACGATGGTTGTTACCAAGTGGCTGAATAGGACTACAGAAGTTGTCCAGGCCGTTTTACGTCATTACACCGAACACGTAAAACACTCCCGCTAAGTTTGTTTGCCCTGTTCTGCTTGAAAGCAAGTACCTGCCTCCTGCAAATTGTTAAAACCAACACTTCAACTCGTACCATTTAGAATCTGTATGTTTGAATATGGATCTTAAGTTGGCGTGACGTTGAAGCAGCGACCCTGCTGTAGTTCCTTTATAGCATAACGTTAGCATTTTGCGACTAGATTTATGCTTCGAAAATTATAAAAGTAGGGTAGACATGTGGATATTATCCGGCTGAACAAAACGTGATCCGTCTCTTAAATGTGTCTCAACCACAGACCTTATTTCGAGCTATTTTCCAAAATCCTATGGAGAAATTGCATTGCGTTTTTGACGAAGGAACCGGAAGGAGTTTACATCCGGGTTTTAGGATGCGTCACTGCGGTTCTCTATAGTCCTTTGCTCAATCGGGGAGCTCGTAGGCTAACGGAGAATGTACAATATTTGAACATTTATATGTTAGATAAGCTACTGAGACCTGCCTGTCTGCCTGGCACATCAACACGCACATCAACACACACACACACACACACACACACACACACACACACACACACACACACACACACACACTGTTAGTCCAGCAACGCCCTTTGCTGGCGGCATATTCATTACAACATACACCTATACATTCCACAACACACAGCATATCATAAATATCGGGCTACAGCCCTTGTAAATGTTATTATGTGAAGCACTATATGGCTTCATGAAAAATATCTGTGAAATGTAGGCCTGTTACATATATTCTTGAGCGATATATATTATACACACTGTTCTCTTTTTTGCACTGACCTCAGCAGCTGTTCTCACTGTAAACATCGCGTCACAATGAAAGCAGTTGTATTAAAAAGCCTAACGGCCCGTCTACACTACAGGCTTCGAAAAAGCTTGAAGCTGGGCGTGTCTGAGGCTTGGCGCTTTCTCGCGCCCAAGGCGACCAACAACCAATCAGGAATCTCCCGCCCGCCCCCAGCATACAAAGCAAAAAAAAGCCCGGTTCTTCTACACTATTGCCAAAATGGATGCCGGTTTTGTAGCAACGGTAGCGTTGGTTTATGCAATGTCTCGCAGGAGGCCACGTATAGTGAGTCGCTGTTGGGTACATACAATACTCAGAAAACGTCTGCAACGGGGGGAATACCACGTTCTTGTCCAAGAGCTCCGCCTGGATGGTGTACTGTTTCAGCAGTACTTCAGGATGAGCAAAGACGCGTTCGACGAGTTGCTCTGAAAAGTCGGTCCACTGATTGCAAAGGCAGACACCCGTATGCGTTTGTCAATCGGACCCGCCGAGCGACTCGCCATCTGCCTACGGTACGTTTTGTGTATTTCTACTTCTTTAATATGACTCTGTATATAAAGAGAGAGAATGCATGTAATGGATGAATGAAGTCTGTGATGTAGTTAAGATGAATGACATTAATTAAGATAGCTAGGTAAACACAGTATTGCTCCCCTGTGTGTGTGTGTGTGTGTGTGTGTGTGTGTGTGTGTGTGTGTGTGTGTGTGTCTGCCTGTGGTGTATGTGTGTGTCTGTGGTGTGTGTGTGTGTCTGTGGTGTGTGTGTCTGTGTGATGTGTGCCTGTGGTATGTTGGTGTGTGTGTCTGTGGTATGTTGGTGTGTCTGGTGTGTGTGTCTGTGATGTGTGTGTCTGTGGTATGTTGGTGTGTCTGTGGTGTGTGTGTCTGTGGTGTGTGTGTCTGTGTGATGTGTGTGTCTGCCTGTGGTGTATGTGTGTGTCTGTGATGTGTGTGTGCCTGTGGTGTGTCTGTGATGTGTGTGTGTGTGTCTGTGGTATGTTGGTGTGTCTGGTGTGTGTGTCTGTGATGTGTGTGTCTGTGGTATGTGTGTCTGTGTGATGTGTGTCTGTGGTGTTTGTGTCTGCCTGTGGTGTCTGTGATGTGTGTGTGTGTGTGTGTGTGTGTGTCTGTGTGATGTGTGTGTCTGTGGTGTTTGTGTCTGCCTGTGGTGTGTGCCTGTGGTGTGTGTCTGTGATGTGTGTGCCTGTGGTGTGTCTGTGATGTGTGTGTGTGTGTGTGTGTGTGTGTCTGTGGTGTGTGTGTCTGCGTGGCGTATAACTTTTTTTTTTTAAATCTTGTATATTACTTTTTTCTCAGGTACCTGGCAACCGGTGACTCGTACAGGACCATAGCATTCAGCTATCGGGTCGGGCATGCAACAGTGGCTGTCATCGTCAAGGAGGTTGCGGGTGCCATGCCGGTACCACAGACGGAGGACTGGAGAGCCATCGCTGCTGGGTTCCAGGAGCGCTGGAACTTTCCAAATTGCGTTGGTGCCATTGATGGGAAGCACGTGGTGATCCAGGCTCCGGCAAATTCTGGGTCCCTGTACTTCAACTACAAGTGCACCCACTCCTTGGTACTACTGGCTGTAGTGGATGCCCAGTACCTCTTCAGGGTAGTGGATGTCGGAGGTTTTGGAAGGAGCAGCGACGGTGGGAGCCTGCGGAATTCCGCTTTTGGAGAGAGCCTCAGAGATGGCAGTCTGCAGCTACCACCTGACACCGTCATCCCAGGAGCAGAGCGGCTGGGCCTTCTTCCCCATGTGTTTGTTGGAGATGAGGCTTTTCCGCTGCTGGACAACCTGCTGCGTCCTGTTAGAAATTAAAATCAATGTTTTGATGGCATAATGTACCTTAAATGTACCTTTAGTTTAAATGCTGTTTTATACTGAAAAACCAGTTAAGCTTTTATTCTGAAAATCCTTCACCTCCGGTTAGCATTTAGCATGAGGCTAATATACCATTTCCTATAGAGGTGAATTTAGCAGCAATATGATATGATGTTGCACACCGAAACCTACTGATTTCAACACTACAACTATAGACGTCGAGATATTATTATTGTTGGATATTAAATGAAGGTACAGTTTATTTGAGTACGTTATCGTTTACAGATGTGGGTAGCATGTCACAACATTCGGAACGACCGGAAATCAAATTGCTGTGAAGGAGTATTGATTACAGCGTTTAGAATGTGTTAAATGAAAAGTCATGAAAGAGTTAAGGAGGAGAAAAGGCGTGTTTAGATATATATTGAATGTACAATGTCTGTATCTTGTGATATGCGTAACAACGGATATTAAATACGCGGAGAGCCGGCCCCCAGGGAGGAGCCAGGAGAGGCTATATAAACAACGAAACCTGAGGCCTCTTTTCTCTGCTAGCGGGGAGCCAGAGGCAGCTGCTTTTCTGTCAGAAAATATCCTGTTTGTGACTTTACCGCGCCTTTTTTATTAATTAAAGTACCAATTTGAAAACATCTCAGAGACTCCATTTAGTCTCCTTTTTAAGCTTCTCTTTCCTGGACACGAGAATAACCATCACAGTTAACAGTCCGTTCCCCGGACGTCAGCTCACGCGTGAAAGGAGGCTGTTCAACTACCACCTCAGCCGGGCCAGGTTGGTGGTTGAATGTGCGTTTGGCATCCTCTCATCTCAGTGGAGAATGTTCCGGCGTGTCATCACCACCAGCCCGGAGGTAACAGAGTTGTGTGTGAAGGCCACCTGTGTGTTGCACAACTTCCTCCGCAGGAAGACAATAGGAAGGTCATCACGCACACCTGTCGTCGCAGAGTCGAGTGATGAAGGTCCAACCCTGCGCGATGCACCTATGATGGGCTCAAACAACGCCACACACCGATCCATCCAACTGCGGGAGACCTTCTGCTCCTATTTGAATGAGGAGGGTGTAGTGTCATGGCAGCATAAAGTGGTGTAGGGTCACCATGGCTCCTCCAAACCAAAAGCTCTTTTAAGAGCTACCCATTTTCTTTAAAGAGCAAATATTCCAAATGAGCCATTTTAAAATCAAACATTCCTAATAAACATGTTTCTTGAATTGATATTATGATATGACTAACAACCTTTTTCTTTCAGCCCTGTTTTTACTGATAAACCACTCATAATTTCAATAGGTTTTCACATAACCAATTACAGAAGAAAGCACATTATATATACCGACATACATGAAGCTTCTGGTATGTTGCAACTGACAAACCACATGAACAAGTGAAGACACAGTATAGCCATAACATACTTGAAATAATGTTTTATTTGGTGAATTTGAGTGAAGTGTGTGTGATGAGTGATGAGTGTAAAAAAATGTAATGTGGATCAGTATGTGTGAAAAAATTATTATTTTATAAATTGTCCTGCTGGTCCACGTCAAAAATTATCTGGTGTACCCCGAGGCGGACTCTTGCCCTCTGTGCCCTTGTCATCTGCCTCATGGTGGGCAAGAGGCTCTTAAAACATTGCAAGTCCTCGTCCTCCTCCACCACTGGTGGGGTTGGCTGGGCAATTGCTGGGTAATTGCTGACAGCAGACAGCAGACTTCGTTCAAACGGGGACATCTCCCTCCCCCTCCCCCGTGTTTTGCCCCGGACCTCAGCATTCTCCTCCTGGCTGACTGCTGCTGGCTGACTGGCGGACTGGCTGGTGGACTGGCTGGCTGACTCACTGTCTACCTGGCTCTCTTCCTCTGCCACCAGGGTGGATGGAGGCAGGGTCTGCCGGGGGACATTGCTGGACGTCTCACGGTCTATGATGAATGGGGTTAAAAACCCCATCACTGCCATGAAACGCCAGGGCTTGTACCCCCCTGCAGACCCTGCCCCGCTTCTTTTGGCCTCCTTCTCCATATTATTTTCCTTGCGGAACCTGTCCCTCAGACTCTTCCATCTCTTCTTGCAGACATTATCTAATAAAATGAAATGAAATAATAAAGTTAATAAATAATAAAGTGAATTTCTTGAATTTACTAAATTATTCCTCCATTAATGAATGCTATTTTTATGCTACATTCCATGCTGGCTAAATATACTGTCTATGCTTGATAGCTGTGAATCAAATCAAGTTTGATTCATATAGCACATTTATAAACGATTTTTGGTCGAGCCAAAGTGCTGTACATATAATAAAATTAGCCTACAGTAGAGACACTTTACAGCAAATACAACAGCACAGATTGTTCAGAATATCAGTATGAGAAAAACGACACCCTCTGCATGTATTATGTTATATATTATGCTTATACTTATTATATTATATATAATATTTTTTTATTAATATATATTATATGTTATGCTACATTACTAGCTGGCTAAATATACTGTCTATGCTTGATAGCTGTGCATGTATTATATGTTATGTTATATATTATGCTTATTATAATGTTTTTTTATTATTATATTAATATATATTATATGTTATTATGCTACATTACTAGCTGTCCATTCAATGCTAAAACGAAGTAAACTGGATATAAACTCCCCAAACAGTTGAAAACCTACCAGTTTCACCAACTGTCTCTGCCACCTCCCGCCATGCCTGGTTCCTCCGGTTCAGGTCCCGGTAGGTGAACAGAGTACAGTCATACAGGACTGGGACATTTGCCACGGCAATGATTAATTTGTCCTCCATTTGATGACATATGGAAAATAGTCAAGACGCGGTTTGATTGGCTAGCGCTTGTACTGGCGGGAATTGCAAAAACGGGATTTGATTGGCTGACGCCAGCTTCGAGAAAGCATCGAGCCTCAAAAGTTGAACATTGTTCAACTTTTGACGCTCGCGAGGCTTGCAACGCCTTGCCAAGCTACCCACAATGCAGTTCGGCGAAGTTTGAAAATATCCTACGTCACCCCATTCAAATGAATGGGCGAAGCGTTGAAAGCATTTTTTGACGCCTGTAGTGTAGACGGGCCGTAACTTCCAGGGGAGATGTGATTAGTGAGTAAACAAACGGTAAAGAGCAGAAACTCTGATGCACATTTCATCATCTTAAATAACTTATAATCACAACGGGAACAGTTTGCAGAGCTGTGCTTCGTTGACAGAAGTCCAGCCATGCGTCACGCCTCTTTTAAACATCACTGTTGGCTGAAATCGACTCCGGAGAATACATCAGTGTACCCTCGGTTATAGCTCCTCTCGAGACACTCCTCTCTCCTCTAAATCAGTGTATCCTCGGTTACGGCTCCTCCTGCAGTGTTGCCAACTCCATAGTAAGGAAAGTAGCTATTGGCTGTCCGAATAGTCGCCAGAAGTCGCTAAATGACGTCATTGCCTAATTTGCATATCATGTAATGGCGGCTGTAGGAGAGAGCATGGTAGAGGGGAATACAAAAAACGTTCCCAACTCTTCAGGGATCAAAACTTGAAACCACCCGAGTTAAATCCAGACGACAGTAGATCAGAAATGTCTCTATTCTGCAAGGTAAAATTACTTTTTTGCTTCCCCGTCTTAAGCAGAACATAACTCAGAATTCTTGCTAGTACTCTTTTCTTTTTTTAAACATGTTTAGGACTACAAATTACCTTTCTTCTGTTGATTCTTTTTATATCTTTATTTTGTTTTTGCCATTGAAATACGCCTAATCTCAACAATTATTTAATTACTTTAATGGTTTGTCTTGACCCGCATTACATAAATCACATTTGTTCCAATGTTAAATGCTAGAATATTCAATGGTGGAATTGCTAGCTATACATCCAACCCTCTTCTTTTATCCGGGCTTGGGACCGGCAAAGTGACCCAAAAGAGACACTCTGGCAGAGTTACTTAAGTTTTTTTCATTTTTTTTTTCTTTTATAGTTTTTTTTGTGTGGGTTTTCTTAAGTTTGGTTTACTTTCTAACCATATGCTCCACTTAAGAGCATAAAACAAGTCAGAGAAAGACATGAACACTTTTGCCATTACTATTACATTTTTTTTTTACTTACGTTTTTTTAAAGTTTTATTTGGGGTTTACAAACCATATGCCCCACTTAGGTGCCTACAACAAGTCAGAGAAAAACATGAACATTTTTGCCATTACTATAACGTTTTTAAAAACATTTTTTAAAGAGTTTTCTTTGGGGTTTACTAACCATATGCTCCACTTAGGAGCCTACAATACACTAAAACTTGAACATTTGTTGTTGTTTTTTTTCAGACCCCCCTCCACTCACACTGTGCTGGCTCACAGAAAGAGCATGTCATCATTTTGGTCAAGGCGTTCTATGGCAGGTTCAGCAACTGAGGGAGCTGACTTAAATGAGTAAGCAGATGATGTGCCAAAAAGCTGCAAAACGTCATCAGGCAGCTTGTGCTCATAGCAAGCATCACCAGACAGCTTCAGACCATATCGGACATAAAGGATGGAGTTCAGGGTCTGCAAGGACATCCGGTTTCTGAGTTTGCTTTTTACCACACTCATCTGGCTGAATAGTCTCTCGACTTCAGCATTCGAGTGTGGCAAGGACAGCACAGACACAGCAGCCATGGTAAGTTCATGAAATGGATTGTTATCAGCTGCATCCCTGAACTTCCAAACCTCAACCCAGAAGCCCAATGTGTTCTTTGTTTCATTCCACTTTCTCAGATGGATGGAACGCCACTGCTGGACAATCTTGTCTATATCTGCAGGAGAGTAGCCAAGGAGCTTGGCTATTTTTTCGATTTCTCCCAGGCTCTTACTGTGGTTTAGAGTTTTCTCTACATTGAAAACGGACATGTACTGCAATGCCTCAATATTGTCTGGCAGTCTCAACCTCAACTCGTGAGTGAGGGAGATGGTGAAGGCAACACACCGCTTTCGGACCTGGTTCTTCTCCTCAGGCGCAAGAAGGAGCTCAGCTGCCTTGGACTCAAAAAGGTAACCAAGGTACGGTGAGGGACTGATGTATCCATCAATTGGCTCTTTGAGAACATCAATATTGGCAAGTGGATTCAGCACCCTGCTACTCACAGACTTGATCAGGCTAACCAAGCTGTCAAGTAGCTTCAAAGGATCCACCTGCTCTCCCTCAAAAGCCTTGATCGCCAACTGCACCTCACCCAGCACCGACTTCAAAAAAGTGAGGTACAAAATGTTCTGAGGATCACTGTACATGGAGTGTAAAACCTCAGCCATGTAACAGTGTTCACTGGACTTGGTGACTGCAAAATGCAGTTTAAGCGCCTCCCACTGGTCCAAAATGCGTGTAACCGCTGGTTCAATGGAGAGCCAACGTGTCGCACACACCTTTGTTATTTGTAAGGGCTGCTCCCCACAGTTGATGGTCTCATATATGGCCTTATAGGCGTCCCTGCGCTTTGGAGACACCGAAAACCAGTTATAGGTCTCCCGTACCAAGTACTCCACACTACGGGGGAGGGTGTCATTGGAAGCATGAGTTACAGCAAGTTGCAGAGAATGACACACACAGTGAATAAGAACCAGATCTTTGATGCCATACTCCTCCTTCAGCACTTTATGGACCCCATTCTTATTCCCCGTCATAACTGAGGCATTGTCAGTCCCTATCCCCAGGAGTTTCTCTTTTTTGAGACAACACTTCTCCAGGAAAGCCACAAGAGCTTGGGCTATAGATCTGGCATCTCCTCCCTCCAACTGAACAAGCCCCAGAAATGTTGAGACAATTGTTTGTTTTGTGTTACTAAAGTACCTTATCACAACCCCCAGGTACTTAGAAACACTGACATCAGTGGACTCATCAAGGAGGAGGCTGAAACGCTGGTCACCCACATCTGCGACCAACTTTTTCAGGAAGTATGGTGCTCGAACACCATTTATCATCTCGGTGCACTTTGTCCGATGCATTTTGAAGTGCTTAGCAGCAGTGGAGTCCGAGAAAGAAGCTTTACATGCCTCCCCAATGTGATCACATGCAGCATTGAACAGTGTTCAGCCATAGCTAAAGCCATGATGGCTTCAGCCTTTTTTGCAGGGTCAATTGTTTTAGTTTTAAATAATGGCAGCTTGCTTTGAGTGGCTTTGCCTTTTGAGTATGTTTTTGGGTTTTAACATGCTTCTTGATGTCAGACAGTTTTGCATAGAAATCCCCCTTACAATAAACGCAGTATGCCCGTGTGTCATCTCCAATAAATGGCTTCAACCATCCTTTATACTCAGGGTTTGATTCCCACTCCTTTCTGTATTTTTGAGAATACAATTTAGACTGTGCCATGATGTTTAGCTTGTCACAGAGAGGCACACACACAGTGGACGAGGTGATTGAGTGACTGAGGCTGTGTGAGGCAAAGCAAAGCAAAGGCAGTTATTTATTATAGTGTGAAAGTGAGTGAAGAAACATTTACATTCAACATTTAAATCCCGCTCAAAACCAGGACGGCTTGGCAGTTGGCGCATGCGCAATTCATTTGCAGTCTCGACGCGGGGGAGTGTGGTTGTCTCCTCTCTGCTCTGACTGCAGCAGCAGCTCTGCTGCGGCCAGGCAACTGTCAGTCTGAGCGCCTGTGAGTACTATGGGAGGGAGGCGGGGCTCACGGCAGCACCCGCGGCTCGTTAACTGCAGAACAATGTGAGTCTCCAAACACCAGAAAAGTCGCTAATAACACCATTATAAATCGCTAGATTAGTCGTTAGTCGCTATTGACACAAATAAGTCGCCGGAGGGTTTGGAAATCTGCCAAATTTAACGAGAAAATCGCCAAGTTGGCAACACTGTCCTCCTGACAGCCTCCTCGATAATCGATCCTCGACGAGCCTTTAGAAAAATGTGTTTTCCTTCGAGACGGCACGCCGACATCCGTTTTCGGGTCGCTGCCGGAGGACCTGGGAGTCTGGGACACGAACATTTGAGAAATGACAAACGGCTCATTTCGGAGGACTCTGCTTGACACCGGGACGACCGGCTGCCCTCCCCGACAGGCGCACGGACGTGAGGGCCCGCTAATCACTGCGCGCACTTCTGTGACCACAGTTTTAATTTAAATTGTTTTACTATGTTCAATCTGAATTTACTTTAAAATAAAAACATTTCTATTGATTCTGACTTTTCTACATCCAACTCACAGGTTTATCATTGCTTTGACAAAAAAGATGATTAATTTACCCCTTTTAGAAGTGAAATTATAGTCATTTGTTCTGGGAATGTCATTTTTGAGCCTGAGACCTGACAAACAGGCTCGAGGCTTAACAGGTTAAAGGCCTGCTGTTGTGCTCCTATAAGATAATTAAGCAATAGCTCACGACAGGCCGTGGTATATATGCTCATTATATCACAGCTAAGGGGCGTGGTTCGGCCCGACGCGAAGCGGAGGGTCGACAACCCCTGAAGTGAGCTATTGCTTTTATAAAACGGTTACCAAGTGTGGCAATATGAAAGAAAAATACACACTCTAATTTAAATAGTTTGTATTAGTAAATAATGATGTTCAAAATAAAATAGTCCCTCCGTTGCCTTCTGCACGAAAAATAGTGCGAGGTGGTTGCTATGCAACAACACTAACAGCTAGCGAACATAATATAGAGAGCGTTGATCCATTATTTGACTATTTATTTACATTCATTTGTATGTTGCCGTTTATTGTGCACCCACTGAAAAACTGTCCAGCATCAGTAGCATGGCTTACGTGGTTACTTGTATAGGTTGAGGTTGTTCAAGGCTGTTGCTTGGCGTGGCGAGAATATTGCTCCACTTTCTCCGGTCCCCGAGATTTGGCTTCCAGTAGCTCTGGAGAGAGCTTTCGCACCTGTGGCCACTAACGGTCATAATTTCTCTGCTTTGTTTCAAGACCCGCATCAGAAAGCTTTTGAATGGTGGTACTTTTCCAGTTGGTCTACCTGCTCTTCACGTAGCTCTTGTTAGTGTATTCTATAACCCCGAAGGCAGGAGAGACTGCAAAGAGTCAAGGGAAGCTTATAAAAGTTAACAGCATTTAATTACACAAAAGATGCGGTGGTGTACAGAATGAAATGTGCGAGTGGAGGCGCTCTCCTCATCCGCCCGGTCAGTCCAGGTCAGCAGGTAGCAAGAGGTCAATCCTTGGCTTGCTCTTCCTGTTGTCATCGGAGGTCTTCTCCTATTGGCCGGCGTAGTCGGGGGCGGGTCCAATGCAATTTCTGCCTTTTTCTGTTGTTAAATTATATCATTCTGGTGTCTGTGGTTATTTAAACATTCCCTAATAAACGTTATTCAGTGGTAATAAATGAGTGCTAAACCCAGTGTGCTCAGTGTACAACATCACATGTCATTTCACCTTTGATTCACGGTTTGAAAATGCAGCATTTCGCCACATGCTAATGCTAACCGGAAATGAATAATTGTCAGAATAAAAGTATTAAGTTAAGTTAGTGAACTTCCGGTTTTTCAGAATAAAACTGATTTAAATTAAATAGTGTATTTAATTCAAATTACGCCATACCAACATTGATTTTAATTTCTAACAATCCCTCCTTACATACCCTTTAAGGTATGTAAATAATATTGAAATCAATTAGTTCTTCATCCGAACATTGCATGGTACATAACTCATAAAAGTAAAAAAATACAAATAAGAATACATATTCATCATAAATATGAAGTTTTTCATAACTTCTAGCTTAAACCTTTAATGTCACTTTGTAAAATAGCAGCAATTAGCTTGGTATGGAAAACGTCTAACTCCCTCCTTTCACATCATAAATCATCTTCTTACTGTATCTGGTGTAAAGGCACTTGTTCTTTTACAAAGTATAAGAAGGCTTAAACTATCTGAAAATAGCTAAATATGACTCTTTATTTACTTTTACTGTGTCTCTGGTGTAATTTATGAATCTCTGCTGGTTCTAGTAGATATAGTTCTCCCCATCCACATTCTTGTTGGTTGTGGGACAGAGGAATAATAATTCAGAACCTGCTGATATTTCAATCTTACTACTGGGCATATGTTACAAACAAAAAACATCTTCATGGTGAACTAAATAAAATCCTTGTAATATTTCTCAAATCTAAATATAACAATGAACTATTCCTGTTTGTGGTAAAGACACACACTAACGTTATGTAATACAATTTCATTATGGATTCAAAAACAACTAAAGTCATGATGCTGTCAGAGTGAATGATTTCCTGAGTGTATCTGTCCTGTAAGGTACGTCATTCTCTGCTTGGATCGTGTGCAGAAATCCCATCGATTGCACCTGGCAATACGGCTTCTACCCGTCTATTATCAAGCTGAAAAATGAATACAGAATTCCAACATACTGTCATCAAATGTCTTTCCATTATGAATTTAAATTAAATGTATATCCCCATAATGAACTAAACAATAAAGTCTATGGCTTTTACTTCTAATTCTTTACCAGGCTAGTTACAATATGTTGTCTAAATTAAATTCGGTCTCATTACATTACTATGTTTTAGCTTAATTTAACTGTAATATGTTCTTTCTACATTTCAAACCTCAGTTACTCTAATGTCTGTTAAAATATTACAACATTGTTTCATTATCACAGGTCAACTTCTTCGGTATTCTATTCTGGAATTACATCTCTCACAGTAGCCCCTTGGCCACTGCTTCTGTGTTACCTGTTATAATTCAATCAATATTTAGAAACATCTCAACATTCATCAAACAGTATCTTATCCCCAGATATGGAGCAGGTTAATTATAAAACTATCATTCAATGCTCAGTTTGAACATCTGGGTTGGGGCGGAAGGTTTCTGTCAATCCTTAAAAGAAAAATTTAAATTGTGAATTTTACAGCCATGTTGACATTTATACATTATACACACTTCCCCCTTTTACACATGAACTCATGTGTAACAAAACCCTGTAATGGGGAGGGGAACAAAAAACTGTCAGGTAATTGGTTAGGGACATAACGAACATTGTTTACAATTTGACATCCATTATCATTATTTCCACACTTCAGTGAAAAGAAGTGTTCCTCTCCGTCCTTCAGGCCTAAAAGAAACAGAATCTTCAGATTTTAGTTTGACATTTGCAAACCGCCAACTCATGTGGGAGTAAAATATCATCAAGTAGATTAGAAACGGGTCACATGTGCGGTTTCCCCTTTTTGTGGAATTTTTAGGAAACCTCTCGTTTCCCTTGGAGCTCCAAAATAATATGTTAGTCCAAAAAACATGCTTGGTTAGTTATTGTTTTAGAATCATGCAGTTACACTGATCACATGCCGGCATTCATTCACACTAACACTGTCTGGTTGTCATGTCAGGTTTGGTCAGGTACACGCCAGAGTCAGTCATGGACAGTGCTTTTGTCACACTGTCAGTCAGGGTCAAAGGTCATTTGGTCTCGGTCTTTTGGCCATGTCGTGCTCTGCAGAGTCTTTTCGGAGGTAATTCAGCATAGGCAGGTACCCTTTATCTACAAAAATATGTCATATGTGGAGCGCCATTCCTTATTCATTCACGATTTCAACTATGATTTTCAAGATGATTCTAACTTTTCATTGGGACTTCTGCCTCCCACCTTTCCTGAAACTTGGTACAAAACTCACTTCCTTAGAGTACTACTACTACTGCAATTCATTTACACCTAATTAGTATTAAAATGTCTAATGATCTATTTCAGAAACTTGTGTACATAACTATTATCTTGAGTCAAAACATTACTAGGATCTGTGTAGCTCTGCATTTCATAGCTCATTATACTCATTTATCTTTAATTCTGGTCTACTTAAAAAACAATGTTAAACTCTTTAGCAGTGTGTGGAACCTTGGGTGTCCGAACATGCAACAATTACTCCCTCCTTTATCAAGGATTTAAAACAGAAGTCGTTTTATATTTCCATCTTAAAGCCCTCCTATGGTAATAACTATGCTACAATGGTGAAATCAATACTTTAGATTGGAACTTTATATGTGGCTTGGCACCAGCTCTCCCTTTAACCTTATCCATACAAATAAAGATTTGTCCTATAGAGTGGTTCCTAAAACTATCCTTTTAATGGTGATCAATATTGTAACAAATGAGATCACTACTTTATTCA